ACGCAGATGGCACAACCTTGCTTGCCGAAAGTGAAGAGGACTTGAAGCACCTACTGATGAAGATCAAAGACCAAAGCCTTCAGTATGGATTACACCTCAACATAAAGAAAACAAAAATCCTCACAACTGGACCAGTAAGCAACATCATGATAAATGGAGAAAAGTTTGATGTTTGCAAGGATCTCATTTTACTTGGATCCACAATTAATGCCTATGGAAGCAGCTGTCAAGAAATCAAAGGATGCATTTGTTGGGCAAATCTGCTGCAAAAGATCTCTATAAAGTATTAAAAAGTACAAAGATGTCACTTTAAGGACTAAGGTGTGCCTGTCCGAAGCCACGGTGTTTTCAGTTTCCTCATATGCATGTGAAAGCTGAACAATGAATAAGGAAGACTGAAGAAGAATTGATGCCTTTGAATTATGGTATTATCAAAGAATAATTGAATATACCGTGGACTGCCAGAAGAACGAACAAATCTGTCTTGGAAGAAGTACAGCCTGAATGCTCCTTAGAAGCAGAGATAACAAGACTTGGCCTCACATACCTTGGACATGTTGTCAGGAGGGATCAGTCTTTGGAGAAGGTCATCATGCTTGGTAAAGTAGAGGGTCAGCAAATGAGAGAAAGACACTTAATGAGATGGATTGACACAGTGGCTTCAATAAGGGGCTCAAGCATAACAAAAATTGTGAGGATGACGCAGGACCGGGCGGTGTTTCCTTCTGTTGTATATAGGCTCACTATGAGTCTGAAGCAATTCAACGGCACCTAACAACAACTTAGCTTGTTTTAATGTCTCCTAGGGCACTCTCTTGTAGATTCTCTTTCTCAGGGTTTTTCCTGGCTAATATCACGTTTATTTTTCCACATGAACTTTAGGATCAACTTGTCTAGTTCCATAAAAATGTATGTAGATATTTTAATTGATAATGTGTTAAGTTACATTTGGGACAAACTCAAATATTTGTGGTGTTTAAATGTCCTTACCATGATCAAGTGTTGTCTTTCCATTTGTTCAAGGCTACTTTTGTTGGGCTACTCATTTTTATGGAAGAACTTGTAAAATTGTATTATTATTGTGCAGGAATATAATCTCCAAGAAAGTAGGGACTTTGATTTATTTACTACTGTACCCTCAGCCTTCAGAACAGTGTCTGAATATTTGTTGAATTAATGAATATTTATTGAATGAAGGAATAAAAGGTTAGATAAAGGGTGTTTGTTTTGCCTTAAGAAATTGGATAAAATACTAAGGACATTAATTTGATGAGAACTCATGATAAATAAAGAAAAGGATAAAGTGGTTCCTTTGTAGGTCATATTTTTAGATAATGTTTTTAAATCCTGAAAACAGTAAAGTTATTAGTGTTGTTTTGAGAAAATGGAGCTCAGTAGTTACATTGGAATGGTATACCATGTGGAATATTTAATTTTTTCTTATTATGTTCCCAGTTGAACTATATGTATTTGAAGCAATGTGTAGAAAGTAGTCCTATAGTACCTATTCAGAAGGAGTGGCTGGATAACATGTTAATGCTGATACCTGAGTCTTTAAGAGAAGGGAAAGAAAGAGGAGAACTTGTTGAACGTCTCATAAATGAAGTGTCAAGTGACTTTGAAAACAGCATGAAGAGATATTTGGGTGAGTAGCGTTTATCATGGCGTCCCTATGAGGGCACCTAACAACAACAACAACAGCATTTAACCTTTGCCAAGTTTCTTTTACCTTTGCTTTTTTTTTTCCTTTTCCTTTTTGATTCAAAGTTGGAAAAAAATACAATCAGTAGTGAAGTAAATTAATACTATATATTTCTTAGATATGATTTTTATTTCAAGATTTTATTTTGAGCCTATAATCTAGTCAAAATCTTTGTAATGTAAGCGCACTTTTTTGTAATTTTGTGGGCTTATTAGTTTATATATATATATATATTTTTCTTTGTCTTTATAGTTGTAGCTATACTATTTACAGGATTGTGAAAAAAAACTAATACACTTAGGAAGATTTATTAGGGGTTTAACGTTTGCAATTTTTATTGGAATAAATTTTATTAAATGGTCATGCTGGTGACCTTTGAGTAGATATAATACTACAAACTGGAAACTTACTAAAGCTTTACAGTATCTGAATTCACTTCCAAAGTAAGGCCAAAATAGTACCAAGAGTTTTATTGTGTTTCAAATAAAGAAATTTTTTCTTAGCACATTTGAAAGCACAGTAAACTATACCATCTAATATCAAAAGTCAGAAACTGATATCAATAGGTTTTGCAAGTATTTTCAAGAAGTATGTATTCATATGTATATTTTAGTGCGAAGTGTTCTTGTGAAACCTCCAGTTCAATGGCTTGAAGATGAAGGAGGCCCTTTACCTGAATCCCCTTTGTGAGTAAATTACTTTAAATACAGCATTTCATGTAGTTTTTTTTTTTAAAGTAGTGTTTCATTGTGTTTTCTTTACACAGCAGATTAAGTTCCGATTTGACAGTTTCTACACAAATTGTTCAGTGACATTGGTTACATTTTTCACAATGTGTCAACATTCTCTTTAATTGTGTTCTAGTTGTTACATTTCCAGTACTCCAGTTTCCCTGCCCCCCTTATCTTCTCATCTTTGCTTTAGAGTGATTGGTGACCTTTTGGTCTCATATAGATCGTTTTTTACTGAAGCACCAAACTCACAGGTTATAGCCTTTATTTTGTGTGCCAATCTGTTATTTTGCTAAAAGGTGACCTGAGGATAGTTTTGATTCAAGGTTTAAAGAGTATCTCAGGGTGATAATCTCAAGTAGTCCTATAATCTGAACTGGTCCAGTAAATCTGGATTTTTTAAGAATTTGAGTTCTGTTCTGCATTTTTCTCCCATTCTATGTCGGGGAAAAAATTATTAAAAACAAAATTTACTCCCAATCCAGACTGTGTTCTTTTAGCTGAACCCTGGATAACTGAGCCAGAACATAGTAGCAGCCAGCAAGCAGGGCACTCATGCCAGACTCCATTAACCTGCCTTACCCACAGCTTTACTTTGTTCTCTCTTAAGATACTTTAGAGATCTTGATGTGTTTTTATTAACTATTTATCTCCCATGGCTCCCATTGCTGACCACCTTCCCCTCTTTTTAATCCCCAGTTTTCTCACTTCAATACTAATTCCATGTCATAAACATTATTTCCTAAAATTTAGGATTACTTGTTTTATTCCTGTTTGATACGATGCTTTGCTTTTCCAGAGGCCTGGATTATTCTAATCCGTGGCATTCTAGCTATGTGCAGGCAAGAAATCAAATATTATCTAATTTGCACATTGTTCACCCAACCATGAAAATGTTGCTGGAACTTGGTTATACAACATTTGCCAATACAGTTTTGCTGGACTTTACAGGAATTAGGTAAAAATCCCATATTTATGAATTGACATTTTAAGATTTAAATGCTTTCCTGTTTGAGTTTTCATATTTTTGACTATATAATTTTTTAAACTTTGATTGGTAAATCTTCACAATCTTTCTTTAGATTTTACAATTTAAAAAATGTATTTTACTTGGTTTCAATAATTGGGTATGAAGACCAGTATCTATCATTTGCTTCAAATCATTTTTCTTTCCTCATAACTAGAGCTAAAGGTCCAATTGATTGTGACTCACTGAAAAATGATCTATCAATACAAGCTAAAAAGGCAGAAGAGAAGATAATGAATACATGGTATCCAAAGGTTATAAATCTCTTTACCAAGAAGGAGTCATTAGAAGGCATTAAACCTGAAAAAGTGGATGCATTTTATAACTGTGTTTCCACGCTTATGTCAAATCAGGTAAATGCATTTTATATATCTTAAAGGATAATAGAATTACCTTAGTATGTTAAATAAAATTCTATTTAGATACAAAGCTAAGTAATTTTTTGAAATAAGAAAAAACATTTTTACTATAATTTCATTTAAATAAGTTTAACATAAAAATGCTTATTTTTGAAGCAATCTCAAATGAGAGGGAAGTCTAGATGTGTGTCATTGTTATGATGGCTTTTGCTTGAAGGCTGTAAGCTATTTATCTATAGCTTTATTGGAGTGTGTTAAAAGGCTATCTATTAAAACATATTTTTTAACTTATGAAATTCCAAGTTGATCAATTCTCATTTTGTGCTCAGTAAATCTACAACTGATTAATATACTCATAGTCTTAGTTCAAAATATTATTGATCATCATTATTTTTATTATTGCTCATCTTTAAATGATAAGTAGAGAATGTTAAATTTATACTGTTATATTTATGGGCTCCTTGGTGTTTTCACCATTATAGAAATATAATTCTAGAAAAATAGTTCTGAAAAAAACTTTCCTGTTCGGTAAAGAGCTCTGCGAAGTGTGGAACCCCCTTGCAGTAACCAATTTGGCCTTTGGTCCTGGTTCCTGAGAGCTAGACCACACCTGAGGCCAATGAGTAGGGGCTAACCAGACCAACAGGGGCCATCTGGGGGCCTAATGCTGACGAAGCCTCAGGAGACGTGACGTAATCTATCATGGCCAGGTGGTGAGGCCAATGAAGGCCTTGGAAGACAGAGGCTAGGTGGAGCTTCTGGGTGGTGAGAGCAAACATCTGCTCTTGAGAGTAAGTGCATCCCCTGGGAACATGGAAGCTATGTGTTTTTATCCTTTTTCCTGCTAGATTAAAAATAGCCCTTTCCCTGGACTTTGTGAGTCATTCCAACATATTATCGGACCTTAGACACAGAGAAAGGGGCAGGTACCACTGACGTAGCCCTGGGTGACTGGGGATGAGAGAAGGGCTGTGTGGAGCAGCTGGGTCTGAACTGACCAGGGAAGGGAAGCTGAAATTTCCACAGAAAGCAATTGGCATGTGCAGCAGGATTTATTATTCACCACACATTTGGTGTCAGAGGTGAATGATCTCAGCCTCCCTGGGCTAGTTTGATAAAATTGGCAGTGAGGATGGGATTCACTTGAGTGATCTTGACTTCTCAAGCTCCAAAGAGTCAATGAATTTTGCAACACACCTTAAAAAGAAGGATGTATATGTATGTATGTATGTTGCATATCTTATACGTAACACTATAACTGAGGAGCCTTGGTGGCGCAGGGGTTAAGAGCTTGGCTACTAACCGAAAGGTCAGTGGTTCGAACGAACCAGCTGCTCTGCGGGAGAAAGGTTCGAACGAACCAGCTGCTCTGCGGGAGAAAGACATAGCAATCTGCTTCCGTAAAGATTTACAGACTTGGGAACCCTGTGGGGTCGCTATGAGTCAGAATTGACTCAACGGCAATGGGTTCGGTTTGTTTTTTAACACTATAACTAGTATATTTGGTTTCCTTTCTACCTTTACCCACATAAGAGAACTATGATTATTTGATAAGAAGTAAAAAGATGAGTAACGTTTTGAAGATCATTTAGATTCATGTTTGTCTGCTTGTCTAAATTTCCAGTAGTTGGTTCTGTATAGAATGCGTTATTCCTACTTTAGTAACTCATTGTGCATATAGTAAGTGGGTTCACACTCACACACTGGTGTGCTGGAAGACTGACTCTCCAGAAAAATAAAAAGCCCTGATTGATAGTGTTAGCTGATATTCCCACCATGGTGGATTTCAAGCTTCTATTGGTTTAACAACTGGCTCTCAAAATTCTTGAATATTTAAAAACTGGTGCTTGTAACATAGGGACCAGCCTCAGGACACTACTGTACCTCACCTCATGTCTCAGGTGTCAGGCCTACCTCACCCCAGTCTTCACCATGTTGTTTGATTTTTTTGGAACATCTTCCGTACTGGGGAATGTGGAAAATTCTGAGTTGCCATTTTAAGACTGTTGATAGCCTATAGAAAATTAAAGTTTGCATGTATTGTTCTGTTTGTTGTTTTAGGCTACACTGATTAAGACAATACAGTGCTGAATGAGGATAATATTCAGGACTAAATGGGTTGATGAAATGGTTTAATTATAGATAATAGTTCACTGATTTTAGTTAGAGGTAGCATTTGGACTTTCTAAAATAATACAAATTTATGATATCATGCAGTTAAAGGATCTCTTAAGGAGAACTATAGAAGGATTTGTAAAACTCTTTGACCCACAAGACCAACAAAGGCTGCCAATATTTAAGATGGAATTGACGTTTGATGATGAGAAAATAGAATTTTATCCTACCTTTCAAGATTTGGAAGATGTTGTTTTGGGTTTAGTAGAGCGGATAGCTGAAGCTCTGCAGGTATTACAGCATCTTTACTCATTGGGTTTTTTAATATGGCTCTTTTTCAGAATTTTAAGTTATTTCAGTGTAATCATTTCTAAGTCTCTATAAAGTATATTTAAGTAAATAAAATATTATAACTTTCTGTTTTATTTCCTTCCCAGATTATTTTAAGTTAGAAAATGCCTTCCAGTCTCCTGACAGGAGATGATGTTTTCCTTCTTAGAAGTTTTATTATAGTTATGAATTGATATTTTTGTGCATGTCTCATCTCCCCTACTGGGTTGTGAGCTTCTTAAGGACAAGATCCAAGTCATGTTTGTTCTCTTTAGAGCTCTTTAGTATAATCATTTTACATTATAGATACTCGACTAATATTTGTTGAATGATAGTAAAATAACAAGTTTTATATTAGACTATAAACTATGCAATTTTAAATCATTATGTTGCATCAACTTGTCTTTTCTGGGACCATTGAAATCTGAAAAGAATGTTTTAAAGATATTTAGACCAATTACACAGGTATTTATTTCATAAATTGTCGTTTTTATTTACATTAGAATATCCAAACAATTCCTTCTTGGCTAGCGGGAACTTCAACACCTGCAACTCTTGACACAGAACTTCCTGAACACGTGATACATTGGGCTATTGAAATGCTGAAGATGGCAGTACATCAGAACTTAGAAGGTCCAAGACAACATTATGAGGCATATGGTATATATGATATTATACTTTTTTCACCATTAAAGAGTGGCATTTTATTTTTACTAGAATTTGATCAGATGTTTGATTGTCTGAGGCTGCTATGAGAAAGCAGGAAGAAGCAGAAGTGAGTATAGGTGTGGCTTTTGGCAGAGTTGAGGATCAAAACCAAGAAATTTGAATTCTTTTGTCGGGTCCAAAGGCTGAAAGTAAACTGGAGCAGAGTGATAAAGCCACAGAGTAGAAAGGAGAGGTGGAGGGGTAGGAGGAAACTAGATCCAGGGAGAAAGCAGGATAGTTTCTGAGACTAGCTTTGAAGAGCCTGAAATGTTGTTAGTTTATAGTCTCTTCAAGTGTGTGTGGGATCAGGATGGATTACTTGTTATTTGACATTCTGTTAACCAGAACCTTCTATTAACTTTTCTCTCTGTACCTGTGAGTTCTTTTATGATCCTTAAATAGTCTACTACCTTTGTTTTAAAAGTCTATGTTTAACCTGGCTTGCTTGTTAAGTCTATTTTATTTTAGTCATTGAAATGTAGTGATCTATGTATGTTAATACTGTATTAATAATAATATTTAATTCAGTGGGTTACCCCATTCCATGACCAGATAAAAATAGGCACTTTACTTTTTTTTAAAAAAAGATATTATTGAAATCTTAATTATATTATTAAATTTTTAGTTGAAAAATATAATTGGCTCCTTGATGGGACTGCTGATGAACAGATAGAAGTTTTTCAGGCAGAAGATCATACTTTTGATGAATACACACACGTAAGTGGTGATTCTGGTTTTTAATTCTTTTTTTTTTTTTTTTAATTCTGGTAAATATATACGTAACAGAACATTTGCCATTTTAACATTCTTCACATGTACAATTCAGTGACATCAATTGTGTTCATCATGTTATTCAACCATCACCATTATCTGTTTCCAGAATTTTCATCACCCTTTACAGAAGCTCAGTGTCCCCTAAGCAATGAGTCTCCTGGCCCCTCACCCTCCCTCCCACCCACCCCAGTAACCACTAATAAACTTTACTCTCTCTGTACTTACCTACTCTAGATATTTCATATAGATGGAGTCATACAATATTTGTCCTTTTGTGACTGACCTATTTATTCTGAAGGTTTTTAACCACAGAAGTAACATACTTGGATCTGAGTTTTAGGAAGATAATTCTACCAGCAGTGGGGAAAAAGCAACTGAATGAGAAAAGAGTCCTACCTCCTCAGGAACCTTGTTTCTTTGTTTAAAATTGGGCTTCTGTTTCTTTAACTTCTCACTTTCTGTAGAATTTTAAAATTTTATTTTTCATGTACAATTT